GTGTAGGGAGAAGGTTCTGGAAGGTGAGTATCTTGCATTTTGGCAGTTTGTTGAGGTTTGTGCAATTCATCTTTGCTGATGTGCCCTTTTTTGCTGTCTACAGGCCTTATAGGGAAGGACCTGTGGCTCGAGCTGAAGCACCGCTTCAACGTGACCGAGCTCGAGGTCACCGAGCCCCTAGAGGAGGAGACTTCCCCTCTCAAAGTCAACCAGAAAAGGAAGAGGGGCGGGAGAGAGGTCGGGGGGACCTCTGCCCCTCGTGAAATAGGGGAGGTTGCCTCCCGGGCTGCCGAAGTCGGCGCGGTGGACCTTGCCGGGTGTCCACCGTCGGAGGGGGTCGCCGAAGAAGTGGCGTCGGCTGCTAACCCTGTGGCTCAGCCTGGCGGGTCGCTGCCCCAAGCTGCTGAGGAAGTGTCCCGGGGTGTTGCGCCTGCTGCTATAGTTGGCGAGGTGAGCCGTTGGCCCTTCTGTGGTATTGACGTTTTTTTTTCTATTTACTTTTTGTTCTCAGAAGAGTGTCCTTGTTTCATGCAGGCAGGGAATGGCACCGGGGTTTCAGGTCCTCCGAGCTCAGGGGCGCCGGAAGGGGGCCCTACCGTGGTGGTGCGGGGAGTACCTGCATCTATCTCTACCGAGGTTCGCAGGGAGGGACCGAGCTCCGGGCTTCCTTCTTCTAGTTCAGTGCCGAGGCTGAAGCGGTCGTACCTAGCGTACCGCTATGCGCAGGAGGGCGCTCCCATGTGTTTGGAGCACTTGAGTGCATCGGAGGAGGTCGACTCTCTGTGGAGCGCCGCGGTGACTCCGGAGAAGTTTTTTCCCAAGGGGTCGCTCAGCGCGGCTGATCAGGCGATGATCGAGTCGGCCGGGCTAATGGGGAGTTTCGATGCTGCCCAAATCTTCCTGCAGAGAGGTACGACCATTGTGGATTACTGGAAACACAAGTGGTCGAGTCAGCAGGAGGCTATGGCGAAGTTGAGGAGCCTTGTTCAGCCTTTGAAGGATGAAAATAAAGTCCTAAGGGAGGAGAATGGGGTTCTGGCT